TTTAGGACCACAAATGCTAAATTGATTTATATATATTTCACAGTCCACAAGGAAACTAGAGCTCATGTTTTGATATTTTGACTATTTTTTTTTTTTTTTAAAGTGATCCTGGATATGAGATCAAGGCTCAAGTTCCTCTTCTGCCTTGCTTGGATCAAGGTCTAAAAATGATGCCCTCGCTCCTGTGCACGCAGTACCCTCTTGAAGAGGCTCGCCCCGCCGTTCGCAGAGCTGGCCGGCTGCGCGGCGCGGGGCTGCTGTCCTCTCCCAGCTCCTGTCGCAGCTCCAGCAGCCCCGTGCCTGCTCTGCCCTTGGCACGCTGGGCTCGGGGCACCGCGACCGCAGGGGCACACTCCTCCACCCTTACCCATCCCCTCTCCAAATAGACAAGGACCTATAGGAATGGCAAGAGGTTAACTTTATATTTTTTTTCACCAGTTCTATGTTTGTACTTAACTGTGTTGGAGCATCTCGCTCGGTTACCCATATCCCAAAAAACAACTTCTGGTCTTGGCTTCCTTTACCTATTTTTGTGTATCCAGAAATGGAGAATAATGCCTAACTTTGGAAAAACATTGTGCTACTGTAGATGCAAATGCAGTGTTTATGTGATCTAGTATATGATCTTTAACCTCTGGCAACTGTGAGTTTTCAACTCTGAAGTATTCATTACTCATTATTATGTACTGTTTGTTCTTTCATAACAGTAGAAAACTAGTAAAAGGTAATGAAGCAGAGCCAATTTGCTTTTAGTTGGAGGGTATTTATTATATGAGAGGATGTTTTTACCTATTCAGGTATGTTTTTGTGGTTTAACCTGCAAGGAAAAATGCCGTGAAGGCCTCTCACTGCTATTAAGCCAGTGCTGTTTCCTCATTAAAAAATGGCATATATATATATTTTTTTTAATACCTGCTGTGATTTCAAGCTGTCAAGGATTTGAATGTGAACAAAAAACCCCTGTGTCCTGCATCTCAGTTCAGTCTGGAAATGTTTTTTGTTGCAGCTGCTATAGCACAGTAAAGTTGTTCTCCAGTGTTTTCTCAAGGCAGGACTCCACGTTCAAGGCTCCCTGTTACTCATCGCTCATAAATGTGAGATAGCTTATGCCTAGATCCTGTTTGAAACCATTTATTTTACTTCTGTCTTACCAGTTTATTAGTTTTACTAGCTGCGTAAGAAGAGATCTTAACGAAGCAAACTGTTGTAGCAGTTAAAATGAATAACGTGATGTGCCAGCACATTTTTGCTGTGTTCACAAGAAGTGGTTACTGGTTGTGTTGCTTTGAAATAGTAAGAGTTGGATATGTTTGCTTTACAAGATTAAATAGTTACAACTGTTTTCTAATTATGGTAATTTCATAGAGCTATCTGAGTAGATAAGATCAGAACTTGGAAGCCAAAACTGATTTGGAGCAATAAAGCACATGGAGAGTTGGGACTGCATGTTGTTTAGGGGCCACAAATGAGCTCTGTTATGAAGTTCGACTTCACAGGCTGTGTTGGGTTAATATTTGTCCCCAAGGTAGTGAAGAAAATGAACCACCCAGTTAAACTTCATAAAGATATTTGATAATTAGTTCATTGCTAATGGACTCGGTGCTTGCAGGCTGCGGCTGGTCCCTTAAGGCAGCACCGCCCTCACGCTGTTGGATGTCACACCTTCTGTTCCATACGTAAATGGCTGGTGTCTGCAGGATGGTGCGTTTCGTACAGTGATCGTAAATTAGACACATCGCACTGCAAGAGGACTAGCATAGTGGAAACGTCGGTCTCCACAGACAGCAAGGACTCGGGAGCGGTGCGGGCTGACGCAAGACCACCGTGGTCCCAGCTTGCCCAGCTTGAGGCTCGCGACGCTGCTGTGAAGTGCAGCTCACTTCCTAGCCTGTGGAGGACGCTGGCTGGTTCAACAACATGTTATCCTTAGGAAGAGAGGGGCACCTGTACGGGGACACTTGTTTCCATTCTGCCGTGACTCCGTGGGCAGAGCCTCCCCTGCATGGGGGCAGGACGGCACGCACCGCAGCCGAGCTGCTGCCCGCCGGCAGTCGGGGCGCCCAGGGAAGCCGCGCCGGTACCCGTCCCGCTGCCGGCCGTTCGTTAGAGTTGAATGCCTTTAAACGTGGAGAAGTTTGTCTTGGACTTTGGCTTGCACAGCTTAGTGCAGCTCTTAAGTTTCTGTTTAACAGTTCTTGCTGAAAATTAAAGTAGACATTTAGACTTTTTGAAAGTTGAAACCTCTTTCCTGAATGTTGGTAGTTGTAGCCAAAAAACACTTTGTGTATCTCCAAAACCACTTTAGGTACATGTCCTGTTCAGTGCCCTGTTTGGTGTTGGACAAGATACTTAAGAAAAACTTTCTCAGCAAAGCTTTCTCTTAATTGTTTGTAAATATATAAAATCAGCTAGCATTAATATAAGCTTTTACAGTTATATCAAATATACATTGAAGGAAGAGTATGTACGTGTCCCAGTTGGGTACAGTTTCTTGGGTTCCAGTATTTTTTTAGCCCTCTGTTCTGTAGTCTGCTTTTTTTCTTCCTTCCAGCTGCACTTTCCATTGGGTCCTGCTCTAGCTCATCCTCAGTCCTTACTGATGATGGCCTGTTTTTAAAGCAAGACTGGTACATATCATAGTTAGAAACCAGCATTAACGAGCTAAGCGAAGCCCACAAAGATCCACAAACATGTATGTGGGAGGGAGTATTTACTTTTTTCCTTTATATAGTAACACTTGTTAGTAGCTTAGCTCAAAATGCTTCACTGAGCAGGTGGGTGTCAAGATTTGTTTCGATGATGGGGAAGCTGAGGTACAGAAGAGGAAGTGACTTGTCTGAAATCGCTCAGAAACCAGAAGCTGTTATCTCCTTTTTGCGAGTCCAGCCTAGCTTCGATCAGACATGCTGTAATTTACTGAATTTACTGCGTTCCCTGTAAATAGTAGTATGCCGTATTCCCCTTGGCTTTGGCGTTCGTGAACCGCTGCCAGGCTTCCCCGTGCCCCAGTTGGCACTGGGCTCGCCGGCCGTTCCACCGCCCCCTCCCCAGCCGCTGGACCTGGGCTCGCCCCAGCCGGGGCGCGCTCGGAGGAGCAGCGACAGCCTGGCGGCCCCGCGCGCCTGCCCCAGGCCCCGGTGGGGAGCGGCCTCAAGGGGCGCCCCGAGAAGCGATGTGCCGCCAGCTGGCGATGAGGCCTTGCCGTCGACTCGCCCTCTCGCGCCCGACGGGCACGTGGGGCGCGCGCTGACGAGTCCTTCGAGCAGAGGTGGGCAGTGTCGCCTGCCGCTGCTCGCGGGTCGGGTCGTGGACGGGCTTGCTGCCAGTCCCTTCCGCGGCGCTTCCCTGAGCCGACCAGCTGTGTTGCTGTCACGAGCAGGTGGCGGTTAAAAGCAGGGACGGATCACTGTTTGCCTTTTGCTCAATGGGAAGCTGCTGCATTTCAAATTTTGCTAATCTTTAATTCATTGCCTTTGAGCTTGATTTTCTAATGAGATTATTTGCATGGTCAGGAATGAGGAATTTTGCACCCTGTCATGAGATCAGATGACAATTTCTCTCTACCGCTGTTTGAAAGAAACTTTTTCAAAGACCTTTTTACAGTAAAGTTAGTCACTGTTGATTTACGTAATCAAAAGCATGACTGCAAAGGTTTATTGTGTTTATCCCTTTTCAGAGTTTCAGGGTACCAGCAGCAAAAAAATGAGTATGAAAGGAGAGCTATCTCTGTTTAGTTTTTCAGTTATTCTTCATTGTGGCGTGTTGAAGTTGGAAACCTTTACAGTAGTCATGCCCATCTCCTGCACATCTGCCTGCCACCCATCCCCAGTACGAGAACGGGGGAGGATGCTGCGGCACAGAGCCCCAAACCTGCCGGCGCCAAACCCTGCGGAGAGGAGTTAATTAATTATTCTGGTCGAAGCAGCTCGTGGAAACCAGGCCGTTCTGCCTCTGAATGGCCGCACGGCCAGCGTGGCCTTTGTGCTGGCTGGGGCCGCCGAGTGCCACCGAGTCAAAAATAACAGTGAATCATATGTCAGATCTTCAACGTGTTCCTTACCCTGTACGCTTGCACCAGCGCGTACTTGGTTATTTCAGACTGTGACCCTTTTAAAAAAGGGAAATAGTTCTGTAGCTTGTGTCCATTAATTCACAAGATGGTAAGATGTGAAATACAAGTCGTAAAGGCTCAATATCAACACAGAGACATTTGTAGGTGTGGTGTTGGCAATGCTGAATATAGTTAATGCAGAGAAAGTTCATTAGGACAAAGTAACATTGAATGTGTGTTTAATGCAGCAGCAAATTTATAAACACTGTATATTTGATTTGGTGCGTGACCAAAAAAGCATACGTTCTAGGGTTTTTAGTATGATAGTTGCATCCTAGGGCCGACTGTTCAGTATTTAAGATACTTGCCTTTTCCAAGACTAACACTTGAAACAGCGTGATGGATTTACGTGCCTCTTACATTAGATACACGTGTATATATACCGTAGTGTCTGTGTGTTATTTAAATACTTTTGTAAATAAGATACTCCGTAATTAAAAATGTAAAATGTGACAGCTAATCAGCATTCTGTCGTGAGCTACTTAGAGATATTCTGTAAAAGTGGAAAAAAACGCACTTAAATTAATTCAGGTGTTTGAACTCTTCCAGACAAGGAGATGTTTTGATCATCTTAATGGTGTTAGGTCCTCTCTGAAGTGAGTTGGAAGAGGTTATATATTTGCTTTAAATGCCTAGGAACTAATTCATAGTTTAAAAAAGAAAATATTGGCTAAAAATACTTGAGATAATTATTGCGTATTATGAATCGTTTATGTGCATAAGAAATGATGCTCCCCTTATTGCTTACTACTGTTCTGCCAGTTACTTCTCAGGTAACAGCTGATAGTCCTGCTTTCGCAAGGAACACATCTGGATTTGTGCCGTTTATGCTGTATGATAATCGTTGCGGAAACAACTTGGTTAATATTGGTTTATCTGTTTGTTTCAGGTTGTACATGCACACAAGCCCCACTTCATGGCTTTACACTGTCAAGAATTTGGAGGAAAAAACTATGAAGCTTCCATGTCTCACGTGGACAAGTTCGTTAAGTAAGTAATTGGAAAGTTATACGACGTAACGCGGTATATAATTCCAAGCAGAAGTCATTAGATGCATGAAGTATGTAAGCTTCGAAATATTTTTCAACTTTGGCGTGTCATATGACCTTGCAGAAGGAAGCGACTGGGCAAATGTTCACGCTTCCTATTCTTTCAGAAATCGGGAAAAGTAACGAAAGTCTCCTCTGGCCGCGTCCTGGCAAGGTAATCCTGCAGGACAGGGCATGCGTACCTCCCTTTTTGTATCGTCTCTGAGGTGAAGCTTGTCATGCCTGGTGACGAAACCATTTCGTATTTGGACAGCACCTCCGGGCTCTGACCCCGGCTGGCGTGCGGCTGTGCTTGGGGGCCGGCGCACCGCCCCTGCTGCCCCCGCGCCTCCCACAGCTGGTGGGGCGGCGGCGGCTGGGAGCTGGGCAGAGGGTGGCACGGTGGGAGCACAGGGAAGCACGACCCATTTACACAACCTGACGTTGTAAGGGTGGAAAGTTACGAGTTCTAACGTGAGCCTTTAGGCGGGAGGGATGGGGCCAGAGCGGTCGGCACAGCTAAGCCGTAAGAGATGGGGGTGCAGGTGCGGGCGGGGGGAGGAGGCGGTCGCCCGTCGGTGCTCGGCGCCTGCGGGTGCTGCGTCTGCGGGAGAAGCTGCCGTCTGCGTGAAATCGTTTCTATAAAAACACCTTGTGGAGAAGCAGCTTTTTTAAAACGCGGGTCCGAAAACCGAGCGGCCGAAGGCCAGGTCCTGGCTC